AAAAAAAAAAAAAAAAAAAAAAAAAAAAAGAAAGAAAAAAAAAAAAAAAATCGTAGCCTGCACAGGAGTTCTTTATACTATTCTAATTTTATATCTGAAAAAAATTTTTTTTTTAGCTTTTTTTTTTTTTTCCTTTTTGTCTTTTTTCGTGTCCGGCAACGGATCGCAACCCTCGGTGTTGCACCCACACCTCGCTCAGCCAGTGAGCGGGAACCGGTCTGTATGTGGGATCAGAACCCTCAGCGGGAGCGCTGCCGCACTCCCAAGCGGCGCACTGTAGCAGTGCGCCACCGGGCCGGCCCTATATCTGAAAATTTTTATAATAAAAAATTGAAAACTCATCCCGAGATAATTCATTTAACAAATACTGAGTGCCTACTTAATCTAGTAGGTACCAGGGGAACAGTGTAGAAGATGATAGCCACAGTCCCAGCTCTCGTGAAGCTGTCAGTAATAAGCTTTACCTAGTTGAATTTGTGGCTATTTTCTCTTGATTCACTTATTTCTCAACCAAATCATCACTCCTGATTTTCTAGATCACCTAGACCTTTTCCAGTAGGTTAATTCTACATTTCTACCCCAATTCCCTTTATCATTTAAAACTCAGCATACCAATTACTACTTTTTTCCAAACAATTCTCCTCTCTTCTTGAAAGCTCCTTATGACCAGAAAGTTAGATCTGTCAATTCATCACTCATTAATCTGACCTTTACAAAATATCCCACTGCTCTACAACAGCTCTCAAAAATCTTCCCAATGATATTTACCCACCTTCCAATTTTACCCATGATACATTCTAAGCTTGTCTTCCTTTTCCCCCTTTCTGGTTCCTCCTAAATGCCGTCACAGAGCCTCCCTATTTTTGTCACTCAAATCACTTTTATTCCAGATTTCACCTCTGTTTTGTAAGCATTTTCTGTACTTTTACTGACCCTATCAAGGGTTCTCTCTGGGCTACCCTGATAGAGTTTGGATGTGTTGTCCCCTCCAAAACTCATGTGGAAATTTGATCTCCAATGTGGCAGTGTTGGAAACTGATTGAGTCATGGGGGCGGATCCCTCATGAATGGATTAATGCTCTCCCTGGGGGAAGAGGGGTAGTGAGTGAGTTCTCGCTCTATTAGTTCCAGTAAGACCTGATTGTTTAAAGGCCCCTGGCATCTCCTCTTGCTTCTCTCTCTTGCTTCCTCTCGCCATATGATCTGCTTGTACCCGCCAGCTGCCTGCCACTTTCCACCATGAGTAGAAGCAGCCTGAGGCCCATGCCAGACACAGCTGTCCCAGAATCATAAGCCAAATAAACCTCTTTTCCTTATAAATTACCCAGTCTCAGGTATTTCTGTTATAGCAACACAAACGGACTAAAACATACCCTCACCTCAAACTTCTCCTTAGCCCCATCTTCTACCATACCTCATTATTCACCCTATGATAAATCCAAATCAGATTCTTTATACTTTTACATACAAGCTCTGAAATATCCGATCTCCATGCCTTTTTAAACATCATCTCCTCTGCTTAGATATACTCCTCCCTCTCAGTCTCTATCTATGGAGCATCTCTTACTCCTAAAGTCTAGAGAAAATCCTATTTCTCTTCTCTGAAATCTTCCCTGATCCTAAATTTAGAAATTCCTTCCCTCCTCTGAATTTCCACACAACTTTGTTTTTGTCTTATAGTGCTTATATTCTATATTTTAGTCTCTTTTGTTTTGTTTTTCATTTCAGAGTAGTAAATAACACGAGGCAAAGGCTAGTCTTTAAAATCCTCCAAAGCATCCAACATAATTGCATATAGTAACTGCGATAAATATGAATAAATTATCTTTTGAATGGATAGGGTCAAATGTCTGTTCTTTTATTTGTCCAGAATGCCTAAGGATAAGCAATTTTCCAGATGGGACCCTCCTTTTAGGTATAGTTTTTAAAGACTTCTCTAATTAGCTGTATATTCACTTGAGCCAGGGATTATAAGCTCTTCAGACCAAAAGTTACCAATTTAATTCAGAACAACAAGTATGTAGCAAATACCCATCACTAGGGTCATGGGTCTCATGCATGGTATTTTTCTACAAGTTTCTACAGAACCCCTCCATTTTCTGCTGCTCACACTTCTCCTGCATAAAATTATTTTGTAATCTTTCCAAAGGCTAAAGCACAAAGAAGAAGTACGTATGTTAAGCTTCCACCATTCTATTTTATACAATTCAGTTACATGGGTATTTTGTTTGTTTTCAAGTTCATCTCTGTAGTGTCCTTGCCCTTATACAATTTAGCAAATTGTGATACTCTAAACTAGCAGAATAAAAGTAATAGTAAACTAATAAATTTCTATCCCCTTACTGTGCCACTTTTCAAAGGCCAAACACTGCCCTATATGCTTTACTATGTTAGCCTAAGTAATTGTCACCACAACAACTTGGTGAGATAAGCACTATTATTCTCATTAAAAAAAAAAAGGCTGGGCTTAGAAAAGGTAACTTGCTGAACATCTCACAGCCGGTTATGACTCAAGCCTGTGTCTAACTATGAAGCTCAATGCTCTTAACCTCATGTAGCACTAAATCATGAAAAAGAATAAAGTCATAGTATAGCAAACTATCGAGGAAGAGAAAAGATTTAAGAAAACAGTTAAAAGAAAGTAAGAAAAACAAAAACATTACCCGATCTTACTGTGAAGAGTATCAGAGTGAGGCTAAAATTAGAAAGACAAACTTTAAAAAAAAAAATCTTTTGAAATAAAAATAAAGCATGACAAAGGAAAGTGGAATGCAGTACTAATTACCTAGGGCAGAAATATCACTTGCTTACTGAAGGATCCTGGGCAAGGTGCTCAATACTCCAAAATTTTGCTGTCATTATTTACAAAAAGGGGGGCAGGAGAGTGAAATACTTGAAAATACCTGTCTCAAGGGAATGTTAGAAAGTTGACTGATGGGCTGGCCCATGGCTCACTTGGGAGAGTGTGATGCTGATAACACCAAGGCCACGGGTTCAGATCCCTATATAGGAATGGCTGGTTGGCTCACTTGGGAGAGCGTGGTGCTGACAACACCAAGTCAAGGGTTAAGATCCCCTTACCGGTCATCTTTTAAAAAAAAAATTTTTTTTAATTAAAAAAATTTTAAAAAGAAAGTTGAATCACATACATATTCTGAAACCCCTTTTGGAGCATAAAAATTTATGATTACAGTATAAATTAATTTTATCCCCAACAGTAAAGATCAGTTGTGAAAAAGTCATTTCCCAAAAATGGAGAATTGGTTTCCTCATATTCAAAATTGTTCTGCTGCGGGCAAAGTTAATTCTCACAACTGTGTGCTTTAACAGCTATCCTTTGCTGAAAGGCTTAAAAACTGGTCACTGGATCCATGTTATGCATCCCAATAACTAAATCTTAACTCAGTCTACTACCTTACCTTTAAACGAGGGCCCATGTTCTGAGAACCAAGTGGAACACTCCTATTCACCAAAGCAGGTAACTTTTGGCCCCTTTCGCCTTGTCTTCCAACTTCCACATGAAAGAAAAGAGCCGTAAGGTCAACAGAAAGGGTCTGTCCATCAGACCTTCACTGAGGGTGTGTCACGGTAAGCACAGGGTCAGTGTTTTTGGAATGAACTGGATGAATTCCAGGGTGGCAAAATATAGCCCAAGAATATATCATTCCTCGACTTCTCTCTAGTGTAGGGCGCAATCAACTGCCAAAGGATGCATCTGCTCTGGTGTTCCCGGATCCTACCCTAAAGAGAAAAAACGGGTCAGTGGAATAGGTTTTTATTTCTGAAAGAGATTCCCTGAAAACAAGAAGGAGATAGAACAGGCAGTGGAAACTCCAGGACACTACAAATGACCAAGAGTTGGTAAATTCTGACCAACCATTCCCAATTAAAACTCCACACAGTTTCCCCGAGGCCACTCTCCAACTCCATAAGAAAAGTCAGCTGGCAACCTTACTGACCACAACTATGTCATTCCCTAGAAGGAAGCTCCAACACTTCAGTTGATTCCAGTCCTTCAGTAGAAGCAAACTAAGGCACAGATTTAAAGAGTGAGCCTCATCACAACCACATGCCCAGTTCCAGTTTATTGGAGCTGGAGCACAGGGTCTGGAAACAATCATGAAGAGAAATGAGAAAAAGCACAGGTGGAGCTAGATTGTAAAGGGCCTTGTATGCCATGATAAGGAATCAAGACAATGTTCAGTTGGAAAGGAGAAATCACCAAAGGGCTTTAAAACCTAATCTATCAGCCTATGCAATCTGCTCCCTTTGTGCCCTTGTATGCGTTTCTAAGACATGGTTAAAAAAAGCTGATTTTATCTTTAGAACAGTCAAATCTGCTACTACAAGTGGGAAAAAAAATCTGTGAACTTTCAAAATAAAGTCACTAAGTAAATTCCAGTAATGTTAGTTTGTAACTCTCAAAGATATTCATGATCAGGCCAGCTGGTTAGCTCAGTTGGTTAGACCAAAAGCTTGTAACACTAAAGTCAAGGGTTCAGATCCCCATACTGGCCAGCCAAAAAAAAAAAAAAAAGATAATCACGAACCAAATATAGCAGAATGGGGGTTTATGGCTTTATGGCAATGCATACACAAACAGCCACCATAAAACAAATGAGAAGAGTCTACTAATCAGTAAATGAAAACAGACAGTCCTACCGTATGGCAGAAACTGTTCTTAGTGCTTCATATGTATTAATTCGCAACCCCAAGACATAGATAAAATTATCCCTGTTTTACAGATAAAGAAACTGAGACATAGAAAAGTTAAGTTACTTTCTCTAGATTATACATAATAAGTACTAGAGTTGAGTCAAACCCAGACAACTCCGACCCAGAATCCATGCTTTTTTTTTTTCCTTTTTGTCTTTTTTACTGACCGGTAAGGGGATCGCAACCCTCGGTGTCGCACCCGTACCGGGGACCGGCAACAGGATCGCAACCCTGTTGCGCCCGCACCGCGCTCAGCCAGTGAGTGGGAACCGGTCTCCACATGGGATCCAAACCCTCGGCGGGAGCGCGGCTGTGCTCCCAAGCAGCGCACTCTCCAGTGCGCCACCCAGCCGGCCCAGAATCCATGCTTTTAACAACTACTCAACTGCTTCTCTACTATGGGAAACCAGGGGAAAAAACAAAAAGTGCTAACAGGAACAGAAGAACAGAATGAGTGAAGGGTAGCAGATCAAAGAAGTTGGCAAACTTTTATAACTAAAAATAAATAAGTATATGCATTTATTTTAAAAGATGGCAATAGACTTGCCAAGTACATGAGCCAAAACCTGAGTCAACCAGTAACTGGAACCAGCTTATAGAATCCGCAAACAAGAGAACAGCTACATAAACTATAAGAGATCCCTATGATAGAATGTTATATAAAGATTTAAAAAGTGACACTTTTAAGGTATAACAACACAGGGAAATGCTCACAAATAAAATGTTAAATGAAAAAGCAGACACAAAATTGTTTACACAGCACAAGCCCGATTTTAGAAATATTACATAAAGAAGACTGCAAGGAAAAACATAAAAATGTTAATAGTGGTCATCTCTTGGTATACAGAATTATAAGTGATTTTTTACCTTCTACCTATACCTTTTAGTGTTTTTCAAATTCTTAATGATGCAAGGATATGTAAAAAGTTTCTATTTCTTTTTTTTTTTTTTCTTTTTGTCTTTTTTCGTGACCAGTAACGGGATCGCAACCCTCAGTGTCGCGCCCGTACCGCGACCGCAACCCTCGGTGTCGCACCCGCACCGCACTCAACCAGTGAGCAGACCGGTCTCTATATGGGATCCGAACCCTCGGCGGGAGCGCCGCACTCTACCGAGTGCGCCACCGGGCCGGCCCCAAAAGTTTCTATTTCTGCACAACATATACTTGTTAGGGACCTATTTCCTGAAGAAAGGAGAAAACAGGCAAGTTACCCTTTTTCAAGTAAGGATACAGTATAGAGAAATTAAAATGTACAGAACTTATATTCTATTCATTATGATCTTTGTAGGTCTCTAACCCTGTGATCAGCTATATGATTATTAAATCAAACAACTCCTAGTTCTAACATAATCTTTACTGTACCCACTATGAACTACCATGCTTACTCCAATGCTTCAGGGCCTCCAGTGAGCTTCAAGACTCAACTCAAGCACTCTTCCCATTTCTGGTCCAGCTCTCAGGCTTCTCTGAGGACTGTACACACATCAGGCAGAATCAATCACTTCCACCTTTGTGACACTCCTATGCCAAAGATACCTCTACTACAGCATTTATTAATTAGTCTGTACTATCACTGTTTATATAGCTGTCTCTCCTAAGAGATTGTAGTCTCCCTGAAAACGCTGACTGGGTCTTACCTATCTTCGCCTTCCAATGGCTAGCATGATGTTCAGCCCTACTATCTCAGAGTCTGCACTTTCACACGATCCCCAGGGATTCCTACACACGTTAACTTTTGAGAATCATGGTCCAGACTCTAGAGTAGTCAGCCTGAGAAGGGGCCCAACTATTCTGTATCTCTAACAGACTCACAGGTAATACTGCTGGTCTTACCAACCATGCTTTCAGGAGCAAGAAAGAGTCCAGAGTGGAAGTCAGCAAACTGCAGCCGGAAAGACAAATCCAGATAGCTGCCTGTTTTTATGAAAACAGCCAAGTACATTCATTTACATATTGTCTATGGCTGCTTTTGCATTACAATAACAGAGCTGAATAGTTGCTGCAGAGACATAGAGCCCACCAAAAAATTGGCAGTCAACTTTTCTATCTAACCCTTTACAGAAAAAGTGTACCAATCCTTGATGTAGAGGTCTTAGTCTGAAAGCTACATCACTACCTTAAGTAAATGAATGCATTTTTATAAATCAAAGAAAGCATAAAATCATTTTCTTCCAGTTCTACTACCCTCTTAAGAAAAAAGGTACAAAACTCACAAATTTATGCAAATATTTCTAGTTTCAACTCTTATTTAAAAGTTTTATACCTCCTATAGCCCAACTAGGAATTTTACACAATGATTTTCCAAAGTATGCATTTCATACAATTGTGCTTATAATTCATCAACTAATATTTCTTAAAAATACTATCTCAGAAACCAAATACTGTATCAAGGTTCCTAAAATTATTGCAATACATATTACTGACAGAGTCTCTACTTTTAAAGTGCTATTCTTTTTTTTTTTTCCAAAGATGACCGGTAAGGGGATCTCAACCCTTGGCTTGGTGTTGTCAGCATCACGCTCAGCCAGTGAGCAAACCGGCCATCCCTATATAGGATCCGAACCCGTGGCCTTGGTGTTATCAGCACCGCACTCTACCGAGTGAGCCACGGGCCGGCCCTTAAAGTGCTATTCTAAAAAGTCATGGAAAAACTGATGTGAAAGTCCACTTCAGAATTCTGGTGCACACAGAGCTAGTGGCAACACACAGGAAGCCCACTGTCACCTACTGTTTTCCACAAAACAAGACAGGACAAAAGATGTTTGCTTTGTAAGATGCAGTCTCCAGCATTCTTTACACAGAAGTATTAGCCATGAGTCCAGGGACATCAAATTAAAAAACCAAATCATTCTATTAGCAAAAGGTCCACAGGTTAGAGCAGTCTAACTAAGGAGTTTCCAAGAAATGCAGCGCACTATCAGATACTATGGATTATTAGTTTACATTTACCATGGCTTAATTTCACCCTTGGTTATTCTCCCTACTTAAAAATCCCACCATAAAAGATTACCCTTCCCCATCTAGCTTATACTCTTGAGATATTTATACAGTTGTGTATTTCTGCTATCCTGGTTCAGCCAAGTTATACAGTTTCATTTATGCTTTCCTCATCAGTCAGCCCCTCCAGTCTCTTACATTCCTGCGGGTCTTCTGTGAACTCTTTCCAGCTGGTCCCCAGAGATCTGGTAATGAGGTGCCTACAACTGACTGCAGCCTTCCAAAGTACAGCCTTGTTAGTCAGAACAAGATGAGCTCAGTTCCATGACATATTATTTCTGAGTAGGCATTTACCAAATTACAGAAAGCTAGTATGCTGCCATATTAGACTATAACCCCACTCCATGCCTACCAGATTTAGGCACCAGGGCCTGCCAGAATGTGCTAGAAGCCAGAGGATAAATGGCACATATTCCTGCAACATCTATTTTACTAAAGGATAAAGTGAATGGTAAGAAAAAAGTATTTTCATGTTAAAACAAACTCACAAATAAAATAGAATGTAATATTTCCATGAATTTCTACAGATAAAATATAAATATATTCAAAATATTAATAAATATTTTATACATGAGGCAGAAAGGTTGCTCCCAATCCCAAGGGTTTATATATCCACTAGCTTCTACCACTAGAGATACTTGAGGCAAAAAATTTGAAAAGTGCTACGACCCTAACTCAACTTCCGGTCTAACTGCCCATTACCACCCAACCCATATAATCACATCTTAAATAACATGATTTTTCTGCTATATTTCCCCATCCCTAGATATCTATTTTCTCTTTACCTAAAATCATTTGCTAAAACTTCATGTTGCATTCCACTCTGTAATTTACTGATACCAACATCTTTAGGCTCCTCTACATTGTTCATTCTTCATTCATTTCACATTTTTTAAGCACTTGCTGTATGCCAGGCTGTGTACTAAAAGCTCAAGTCACAAGGATAAATAGAACAGGATCCTTCCTTAACCTCAATGAACTTAGTCCAACATGAGACATGGACAATACAATGTGGCAAAAGCTATGA